ATTACACATGGGAACAAAATGGCACAATGGTCTACGAGGCCTGTATTAGAACGGTGAATATGAGAGGAGTTTAAGCTCAAATTTTTCGAAAGTTACTCAGCACCTATTAAATTTCCAGCCTGCCTGCGTGTGCGTGCTTTGCTGTTTGAAAGCCCAGGCCCTTTTCAGGACTGGTCCTTCAGAGGCTCGAGCCCCCACGTAGCGTTCCTCAAGCATCACCCCGTTACAGGGACAGCTCTTGCTTAAGTCACGGGACTTGACATCTTTTCTGACCTGGCTAAACACATCGTGGTATGGCCTGCGCGTGCCTTTCCAGTCACTAAAACTCTGCAATTTATTACTTTTAATACAGTAGCACTGAGAGGCCTCATTAAAACACAAAAAACCTCCAGCCCTTGCGGTGCCAGGCCCTCGCTTGCCCTTCAGCGGACAAGGTAGAGGCGAGCAGGGGCAAAAAAGCAACATGAGCCACCAGGCAGGACGAAGGCTTACATCCCCAGCCACCGCCTCAGATCCCATTGCCTCCCCCTTGAACTGTGTAGCCTCCTGCACGCCAGAAACATTCCTGTGAACGTAATGCCAGGATTGCTGTTAAAAGATACACAACAACAGAACCCGACTTGTTAAAAAATACCCACCGAGGAGGAGTAAAAAATAAATAAATAAATCCTCAACACAGTCGCGTCTGTCTCCAGTAAACAGGACTTTTTTTCAGGCCTTGGGCTCAGACATATGACCGATCTCCTGCAGGTGAATGAATTACTGACTGTCAGCTGGGCCATTTTCACTGAGGTTTAAGCACAGGCATTTTACCTGCCATTTGCCAGGGGCTAAGAGCCTGCACACGCTGGGCACGTACCGGCGCTCAGCCGGCACGCGGGCGCCTGTGTTACCCGCTTGCCACCTGACGCAGCAGTTCGCTCAGCGGCACTGTCTACCCCGCTGGGTCACACTTCGGGACTAGGACCCAAGCCACCTCACCCCCCCCCCCCCCCCCCACACCTCCCTGCGGGCACCGACAGGACATGAACCTGTTTCTAAATGAAGCAACGCTTATCTCATGCATGCCACAGGTGTGATGTCATCCCCTCTGGCGAAGGAACGAGGATGTCTACAGCCTCCACTGTGCAAAAATGCAGGAACTAAAGTTAACATGTCTCAGACTTTGTTAAAATATGGTGATAATTAAGAAATATAATTACCACTACAAAGTTAATTCCTCTTTCAGTTCTGACAAACAAGTTTTTAATTTGCACCAAAAATTTACATTTCGGATTTCAAGTCAACCGCGAACGGCTACAGGCTTGGCAGGGGACTCAAGGTGGTGGCTGGCGGCTTCTGCCAGGCTTTTGGGGGCAGGAGCACTGTGGCTTCCCGGGAACGTCACAGGCGAACGGCCGCCAGCAAACCCCGGGGGCGCCCAGGTAAGCCCATCCGATTGCTTTGAACTGTCTCGTCTGTTGTACAAGCACGAAAATAACAGCCGTGTCAGATAAACTTCTGCTTTTTATTAAAAAAAAAAAAGAAACAACTTATAAGGTAATTGATTGCTTTCTTCTAGTCTTTTATTAGTTGTGATTAAGGAGATATAGTAGCCCTGTTCACACAGCTCTAACAAGTCAGGACCTGCCGTATGTTTTTGGCTCGCGGCCCACAACTTGCAGTCCATTCTCAACAGAATCAATCTGAAGTTGAAAACATCCCCTGTAGGAAGCGTACACATCCCTGCTTATACAGGAACAGAAAACAGTAATAACTGCAGGTCCTGTAAGTTGCAAGTTCAACTTACAGAGATCAGCCCCGACTTGTCATTGCTCTCAGCATGTTCATGATGAGATCAGAGTGCTTCACGGAGGACTCCTGCTTTCAACTTGACAAGGGACATAGGTGAGCGTGTTACACTTCACTGTTACGCACAGCTCAGACTCCGCAGAAATAAATCGAGAGCTCCTCGCTGTTTAACATGCAGCCAAAGCGCTGCCAATCTAAAATGGCTGATCAGTAATACTTTAATTGCAGTTTCATAGAAACAAATTGCTATTTAATTGCAATAAGCTCTTCTGTGGCTTAGCTGGACTGACAGTAGGCATACACCTGGTACTAAAAGTAACAAGCAGCAACAACGGTTGTCTGGTGCCTCGCGTACAGGAGGCCCAGGCAGCAAAATCAGACCCGGAACACATAATTTCACACTGAAGAAATACAATACTTAAAAAATATATATACAAAAATGTCCCGATCTCAGTTTTATTTGTTAATTTAATAGAGCTGTTCAGAACGTAGATCCTTGCAAAAAGCCTCACGCTTGCCATATAACTACCAGCCAAAGAATTTGATAAAAAAATTTAAATTCAAATGATCTTTTGAAATGCCTGACGGTACTTGATAGCAAGTCATACTATGCCGGTGCGTGATTCTTTTTTTTTTTTTTTAGTATTTACCCTAAAATTAGATGATGCAAATTTTATCAGTGTTAACTAACAGGGAAAAAGGGAGACAAACTCAGTGTGGTTAATATGCTAAAGATGTGACTTAATTTCATAGGCTTCATTTTGGTAAGACATTCGCACTTTATATTTCATAAGATACTGCATAACCTGTTAAAATATTTAAAGATACATCATGTAGGACTGAAAAGACAGTATCTTGTCGCAAACGGAATTTGGTTTGGAAAGGCTTAGTGTCCCACTGCCTGCCAGGATGCGTAAATCTCATAACTAGACAGCTGGATAGGTAAAAACATTAAACCCATTTAGAGGGCAATCTTTTTACAAAATTGTTTCATTAATAAAAGTGACAATTTATATGATTGAGACGTTTAGATGCAGTACAGACAGAGCATTTTATCCAGGTTCAGGAGGATGATTTCAGATTAGTAATATTTCCTTTTTTTTTTTTTTTTTTTTTTAACAGCATTCATTTTTGAAAGCGAGGGAAGCTCTTACCGAATGATTGTTTCTGTGACTTTTCAGCAGCACTAAATGCACAGGGTGTGTTTCAGCCTCAGCGTAGCAAACGCATGCGATAAAAGGTGAACGTGGTTTTCCTTACAGGTCTCCTAAAAAAGTGATTTTTCACGTAAGGACAAAGCTAAGCGTTTCCAGTAGCCTTCTATCCACACCTACCGTCCCCATTAGAGCCTGTTTTATTGTCTGAAATGCCTCTGGTTTCAAGAAAGTGTTTTACCTAAAGCAAGAATACTACTTAAATATGTTCTATTGTATATTCATAGCTCCATTAGTCCTCCTCCAATTTAGCACATCAAAGCAAAGGCTTCATCGCTTGCATGTGGATTATGCTAACATGAGTGACATTTGTAATCTTATAGGTCTGCAACTTAAGAAATGCTTTTAAAGTAAGCTATTAAATAGGTAGCTGTGCTTTACAAACGAGTCATATAATAGTTTATTTAAAGCCGTTAATGAACTTCAACCTCTACATCACTAAACGCTATACTACGTTACTTACTGGAAGTTATTAGCTATCTTCTTAGCACTTCTAGGTTATATTGGACAACCAAAAATCTGTACGTGTTAGATTTAAACACTGTACCTTGAGTGCTTATACTGAAAGAATATAAAAAGATGTCTACAGTCGCACTAATACTTGAATTCTATATTCCTATGACTTCAAGTGTCTTTTCAAAGATATTGAAGCAGCACAATTTGCAGGACTCTACCTAAAGGCTTTAATGCCAGATCAAAAAGCTTAGAAACTTATTTAAAAAATATGTAAGTGCATTTAATTAAAAAGTCATACATAGCTTCATTTTATTGCCTTATGTGTTATGCAAGTATTCTGTTGTCTTAATGTCTGATACTCTACATTGCGACATTTTCTTTTCTCTGCGACAGTCCTATTTTTCCTCAAGCACTGAAGTGTTAAAAGAAGAAATTCAGCAGACCTCCAATATACTAGAGGTCAAGAAGTAGAATCTGGAAAAAAAAAAAAAAATCTGCTGTTGGTTGTTTAGACAGACTAATCTATAAATCAGCTTTTTGTGTATCGGCATCACAACAAAAATAAGTCAAGCTCACTCCGTAACCGAGCATGCTGAACAGTGAACACCGTCTCAAAAACAGAATTAAAAAAGAAAACATAATCATGACGCATTTCAAATGTATTAGTCTCCTAAAAAAGTAGCGTAATTGTTAATATTGATTTGTTATTAATTGCGGCAGAGGCACGTTGTAGGTGCTTGCAGTTTCCTGACTGAAGGCGTACAACGCACAGCCGTAGGTTCATGTTAGCATTCTTGCTACAAACATGGAAAGTCAAGAGTTTTTTCTCAAAATCATTCTGCACAGTGCTACCACCGAGCAGCTGATGGGAAAAACCCACTGAATGAAGTTGCTCCTTTTCTAAGCTTAGAGGAGGCTTCCTTGCTTTGGCGGAGGGAGGGGGGGGTGGGTTGGTTTGTTTGTTTTCAGAGCACAGGTCATATTTGAGATCAGTTATTCTCAGAAATAGCCCAGGAAACGTGTTTTTCTTTCCTTAAGATTATCAGCGTTGAAAAGTTAGTCTCTTACCACAGCAAACGCAACTCTACGTTGTTCAGCTCAGAATAGCTATCGTATTCCTTTTTATGAATACTCAACTCCAGTGCTCAGCGTGACGTACAGACCTTTTGTTGTTTTTTATCATTCTTTGACCTCTTACACTATATACATACCCTCTCATGCTTGCACGCTCACAGACACATGCGCACCCTTAACACAGGTGATTCTGCGGAAAGGAACCGCATAGAAAGAGACCACAATACCCGTATGCGTACCAGAATTCACTGCAGTATGACTTATACTAGACTTGCTGTTACCAGAATCAAGAATCTCAATGAAAAATAGAGATCATTTTCAAGTAGTGCTCTGTATCCTTGCCAAAAGTAACACGGTTAAGTAGTTTAACAGATTCTTTACTGGCGTAAGACAAAAAAACTGTCCAAACCAAAAAGCTACTTTTGAAGGCAATTGACAATTAAGGTAATGACTACGTAAGATATAGTTTCAGAATAATGTTTTTAATGTAGTTTAAAAAAAAAAAAAAGCAAAGCTTCTAAAACCCATACTCAATTCAGTGTTGTTTGTTTTACTTTTTTATTATTTAAATACACCATACTAGAGCAAATGTCTCTGAAAATATCACAAATAAAAGATTTTTCTTCATTCAGCAAATTAGAAGTAGGTGAAAATTTCTACACAGTAGCTGCTATGAGCCTGACTTTTTTTTTCTTTTTTTCTTTTTTTTTTTTGCCATGGGAAGTAGCAACATTAGGACAAAAACACTTACATGCATACATACATTGTATTTTACAGAGATACAATAAAAGTGTTTGTGATAGAATATCACAAAAGCCACATCTTTATCTCATGTTCAGTTTGATTGAAACACATTTCCTTACAACACTTAAATATACAAAGAGCAAATAGAATGTTGTTAAGGTAAAACACAGGGTACAAACTGGCCAGTGCCCTGCTAATTGTTAATGAGGGTAGAAAGCAGATTTCAATGCTTCTTTTAATTAGCTTCATTAGTCATCTTCCCCACACGCCCCCCCCCAAGATGTCCTCCGGTGGATCTTTTTTCATTTTCTCTACAGTCTCCCATTAGCCCAGGTTCATGGAGTCCTTAATGTTCATATTCAGTCATTTTAATACACCAATAAATGTGGGAAGGGCAATCAAGAATAAAGAAGGTGCAATGGTATGGAGCTGGCATTGATGCTAGCTACAAAGGTGACTTGTCTACTTGGAGACATGGGATCCATCTGTGATGAACAAAATTTGAGATGAAGGCACGCATTCTGCATTACTCTGACCTTTTAGCAGACCTGTAAGAAATAAAAATGGGTATCTTAGCTAGAATACTAAATTTGAGATAGGAAACTGCAACATGACTGCTTTTGTCTTTTCCTTATTCACTAATCTCTTTTTTATTAGATTACTTTCCAACTGTGACTTGATTAAGGCTTTCTACACTATCCATTCATACTGCTAACGTTTCAACTTCAAATAGCAAAAAGCAAACATTTTCCGCAGTTCACTACTAAAAAGAGCAGACAGGGGAAGAAAAAAAAAAAAGAGACGACAACAATAAATAAGCGTACTTTCTGGTAACAAATTGTACAGTGAATAAGGTGGTTTTTCTGGGCCCCTTTTAAAAGGGAAGAAACATTATGCCATGCCTTTGAAGAAGCTAGTAATATGATCTTATAATTGGAAGAAATAGTGTGTAAAGCAAATAAGAAGTACAGCCAATATCCTCCCAAGGCAACTTTGGTTAATATGCTGCATTGCACAGCAGCTAAATATAGATATTTCAGGATTTTTCCCCCCCATTTAAAATTCCTCATCTGGTGTGTTAGTTAATGTTACATAAACATTTTAATATATGAAGTCAAACATGTGCTTTCACACTGGTGTTAATGAATTGTGATAATTAAAAGTGTCTAACTCAATAAAAATCTAAACTTTCGTGGATAAAATAGAAATGATCGTCCATAGTCTTCAAATACAATCATCTGTTTGCAATTACCAAAATGAAATAATATATATTAGATTTTTATGGTTTTTAAATGACATTTTGCGCTTCCCAGGAAGTTCTTTTTTCACCCTTTCTCTAAGTTACTAAAAGCCCGAGGTCTATTAGTAACTGCAACCCCCCACTTTCAAGCTAATTAAAGTAGTAGAGGCTTGGAGGTTTAATTCCCCAGAGCTGAAGCTCAGTGTGAGAAAGGTAATTTGTCTGTCCAGAACAAAGATTAGGGAGCAGCCAGCAAGCATATTTAATAAATGAGCATCAAATATCTTCTACTACGGACACAGACAACACCAATTATGTAACTACAAGGGAATTGTTGAGTGATAGGTAAACTAGAAGATTTTTAAGATCTTCTCTGAGAGACATAGTCTAACTCATACTTTATTTGAAAGTATAGAAGCTGAAGACAAGCGTTTGCTACAAACCGTGCCAACCAATGGAAAATTTACACTTTTAGTAGGTGGTAATACTGTTGCAAACAAGAAATACTACAGGAATTCTACCACTACCAAAAAAGCATAGAGAATTCTTGACAATACAGCCCCTTCAAGTGAAACGGCACACAGGACATCACAAACCGCAGGCGAGCAGCACCAAGTTTAGAGAAAAAGGGGGGGGGGGGGGGGGCAGGTTTCAAACTACATAGCCAGTGATGGGAAGTTACAATTTACATGTGTGAATTGCCTCAGGGAGAGAAAAGCAAGTTCTTAAACAAAGTTAGGTCGTGGAACCCCTTCTGCCTGCACCAATCACCAACAGGCATTAACCCGTGAACTATATTAGGACAACAGTGAGTTCGTAACTGTCACCTTCACGCATGCAACAAAAATGTGTTTTAAAGCTGGGAGTATGTCTCAATCTCTTCAGTTTAATGAAAAAAGCCTGTGAATATTCTGCTATGTCTATAATCTCTAGTGGTAGAATAACCTGGAGACTGACTGATCTTTAATGTTTAATAAAAAGTATCTGTTACAGCCAACTCTGTCATAGTGGAAGAACACTTTTAGTGAGTGGCCCTAAAACATGCAGCTTTCTGGAAATCATCTCTGATGTAAACATCTTTAGACCGTTAAAAAGCCAACAGACAAAACACGACTCTTTTGGCACCTGCCCCTGCAGCTTCCAAAACTCCAGAAACCCGACAAATCCACAAATTATCAACTTGTCTCCTCAACTACATTTCAGTTTTCTGGGGTTCAGGTGCTCCACAATTCCCCTTTGAAAACTGGTAGGAGAACTTGCACCATTTTCTAGAGAGATTATATTATAACGAAAAAAAAACCCTAAACAATGATCTCTCCCCCCAATCTTCTCCCCGATACCTCTTCAACTGCCTCATCATTGACTGTAGCAATGCAGTTAATAGTCGGTGACAGGAACTAATAAAAACGTGTTCTCGCTATTTTCTCTGCATTTAGCTCCTACCGGGCATCTATAGTTGAGAGCTCTGCAAGCCCGGTCCAATTTTACTTCTCTTTTCCATGTTCTATGTTCCTCATCATGTCTACTGCTTTTATTGCAACTAAATCACTTTTATGTTTTGCTACGGCATAGTAAGAAACTGATAAAACTAAATGACAATTTAGACACCTATTTGAAGTTACATTAAACTTTACATTCGTAGAAGACAAGTGGATAAACCACTCTCTCAGAATGGTAAACCTTTTACTGCAGTGTATAAAGACGAATGGTTTTACCTATATTTTGAAATGGGATACCTACAAATATTCATTTAACAGATTCACTGCTAGCTAGTCTGTATTACAGATTTGTTTCATTAAAATTCACGACAGTATAAATCTATGAATCTTTAACTGTATTTGTACTTCCTTGAGAAGAGGCTGCACATTCTCCTCCGATCTTAATTATCTTTGTTCTGCCTAACTATATAGGACTTTTGTACTCAACTCTCATCACCTCGATTGTCAAATTAAGTAAATAAAAAAGGCCCATGTTTTATTTTGATGTAATTACATTCACTGTATAAGACTTGAAAGAATACTTAAAATTAATCAGTAAATTTATGCACAGAAAAAAAAGCAAACACAGATATTGAAACGTAGCAACACAACAAAAAAAAATCATGGAAATTAAAAACCAGTTTGTGTTTTCTTGGACATATTTCCCCACTAAGTAAAAGCACTAAAAAATATTCTGTGCGTTACAGAATAGATCAGCCTAGCATTTGTCCCAGATTTTTTTTAATCTTCCAAATTCCTATTTGCAGATAAATGTTATTTTTTGTGATCCTTACAGACATTAATGAAGTTCCTATTGTAAATCTATAAAGAATTACCAACTGAAGTGTGCACTTTTTGTTTCATTGCAATAACTCAGTGCTGTGTGATTGCCTGGGTTAATGATGAAAAAGTCAAATATACTATCAGAGCTGATGGAAAAATCTATCACCAATCTGAAATTAAAATTCATCTGTGGTCAATAAGATTTAATATCCATGCAAGTGGCGCTGTAAAGAGTAAATGAATCAATGTCATCAATACATAATCAGTATGAAATATGATGTGAATAAAATTATGTGCAAGAGTCATACATTCACTCTTTTCTGGACCAGGGTGGAATGAACAGTCTCTTAACTCAAGGTTGACAGTAATTGTTACAAATTAGGCACAGCAGTTATCAAAATGCACTCACTCGCATAGCTTTAGGACTTATTAAGGAGATTAAAATAGATCTAAAACTATCTAGTTTCAGAGTTACAGGACAACTGTTGATCAGAAATTTTTTCTTCTTCTTCTTCTCTATATGATTTGTACAGTCATTATTTACTCATTTAGCTAGAAACCAAGAGCTATCAACCACAGAGATATACAATCTCTAGTTGAGCTATTAGTGTTATGGAGCGATAAGAAAATAGCACTTTGGTTTTTAAATCTGAGTTATGACATACAAAACAGACAAGAAAATACTTCTGAAAGAGTACCCCAGCATGCTTCCTCAACTAAAACCTTAATATTAAAGTGAAATACATTGGTTTAGTTCAGGAACCTTCTCTTCACAAGACATTTATTTCCATATTAAAGGATCTAATTTTCCTCCCACAGAAACCTGCTCTCTTGTAGCCCTTAATTTCAAGATTATAAAATAAAATACTTTTCTTTGTTAAGAGTTTATATTAGCGTATGCTCTCCATTTCGCTTTGTACATAAGGAGTTCAACAGCTGTACAGATGCACATGCCCAAACTGAAATAAACTGACTCACCCTACATGGCATATTTAAAAGGTTAGTATTTTCTCCCCATACCCCATGCCTAAGTTATTTAAGGTAAGTTCAGTTACTTAAAGGTCTCCTTGCAGGGGTGGGGAATGTCCGCTATCAGAATGAAAAGAAATTGATCTTCATTTAGCTCTAATAAAGCTTATTAGTAATTGTTGAGTATTCACCTTCTGGTCTGGCAGTAGTGGATTACTCTGAAGTGAATTCAAATGGCCATTGATGAGAGCTGTAGGTCTATCATGTTCACAAAATAAACTGCCATTGATGTAGTGAAACCGATCTCCGGGGACCAGGCGATTCCGGCAGGTAGAGCATGTAAAACACTGAAAAAGGAAAGAGACAGCAAGTGAAACTACAGCACAAATTAAGTATGCTGCAGGTTTGAAAATTACACTTCAGAGACTGCAAGTACAGTTGAGATATGGAGCTGCTTGGTTTCTAGCATCTTCAAATACGGCATTAGTCTTACCTGTTGGGACTGTGCAGTGCATAACTCAAGTATAGTTTTACCGATTACGAGGGAACAAAGCTACACACTAAGGGAAGCTTTATAATACATACTCGTATTTCTAGTTGCTGCTTTGCATTTCATTCATAAGCAGATGCAGATTTTATACTAAAGAAGCACAGCAGTACTCATCAGCTACTCAAAAAACACATCGAAAAAAACCCTCACCTTAAGATGATAGACGTTGCCCTGTGCCCTCATG